GAAAGAGTAAGAGTTAGCGACATGATTGACGAGAGTAATCGAACTGCGCTCGATCGACGAGCGACGGTCGATATTATAGCGCGCGATTCCTCCAATCGACCCCCCGGAGAAATCGAAGACTCAATTGTCCACAGATATTCTGATCGCGCGTTTGCTCGGAGCGACGATTGTATCGAATATTAGCATCGCGCCCGAGATAACGCGCGAGTTCGCGCGGAGGACGAAGATTGCCGAAACCGTCATAATAGATCGCGTCGCCCCCTTTTTTCGCATATGCCACCCAATGAGTACCCGGGCCGAATGCGTCGTCTAAATTCACGATGCCGCTCTCATCGCGACGCGCCCGCGATGGAAGCGCGTCGCGCATAAACACGCCTCTAAAGTGAGGCACGCGCGAGAGTATCGTCGCGCGATTTAATTGTTCGTTTGTCGTTACTCCGACGGATGGGAGAATTCCTAGCATCTGTCTAATCGTTTCGCGAGACGAGTACCCGGCCCACAAAATTGATATCCAGGTATATGTAATTCGAAGGGGAGAGCGTTTATCGCTTTATTCAATAAGCCGGCGCCGCTGATATCACCGATTACACCGTACCGCTGCTTCGCGAATTGCATTTGCTGCAATCTTTAACGAGCGGCGCCGGGCCGTCGATGTGCGTTCGTTGCCAGGGACGATTGTAATGCTCCAGGCATCGACGGTAGCGCCGCACCTCCGGATCCACTCTTATATGTTCGGGCAGTTTCTCCCACAATCGTTCCACATAGCGACTGAAGTGCTTTAGCAAGATTACTTTCGGGATAAACCGCAATTGATCGGTGGTGAAATCGAGAATATCGTCACCGTCTACTAGTAAGATAAACATCTCGATTCACCGCGCGCGATTCGCTACTGCGCGATCGACGGCGATCTATTCGTATATAAATAAAAAGATCTCGCCCTGCCTCGCGCGAGTGCACCGCGCACGCGCGCGGCGAGAGGCATGCGCTTCGTGCGGCAGCCGATCGCGATAAGGGTGACGAATCTCGATGGTAGGGCGCGACCGTCTGAGGAAGCGCGCAGACACGGTCGTCTATTACCGAGCGCTATTCGCTGCCTCATTTGCGGTCCCTCTAATTGTGGTAAAACGAACGCGCTAATAAGTTTGTTGGAGAGCCCACACGGTGTACGCTTTGAGAACGTTTATGTTTACTCGAAGTCATTGCAGCAGCCTAAATATCAGTATTTAAAGAATTTATTGGCACCGATAGAAGATATAGGTTATTTCACATTTTCCGATAACTCTGAGATCGTCGACCCGCTGCGGCGCATCGCCAAGCGCGCCGAGCGAGACGAGATCGAGCGAGACGAGATTAAACGCGAAATGATAAAGCGAGACGCGATCAACGCTTCGCCCGTAACGACGAGCGTCGAAGAAAAATAGAATGAGGAAAAATGGAAGGAGGAAGAGTTGACCCCCGCTTGGAAAAAACCTAAAGTGAAACCAATACGAGCGCGACGACGATTAGATGCCGTTTCTACTCCGTCAAACGTGTATCCTATCGAGAGAGATCCATTCGCGCGGGACGAAACTGAAGAGGAAACGTTCGAACCTGAGAATCTCGAGTCATCCTCAACGTTTGAAACGCCTGTTAAGCGAACCTCGCGAATTTCTCAAGATTACGAAATGCCGCACGGCCGGCTAGGACCGTTGGGACGAAAATACTGAAAGAGATCGCTAAGACGCGCGCATCGATTCGTAAAAAACACAGAGCGTTAAAGACCGGCAAAATGGAGAACGAGATCGCGATGGAGAGCCGTTTTAAGCCAATCGTCGACCCGCTGCGGCGAATCGCCGAGCGCGTCGAACGAGACAAGATCGAGCGAGACGAGATTAAACGCGAAATGATAACGCGATCGACGCTTCGCTTGTAACGACGAGCGTCGAGGAAAAATGGAATGAGGAAAAATGGAAGGAGGAAGAGTTGACCCCCCACATGGAAAAAAACCTAAAGTGAAACGAATACGAGCGCGACGACGATTAGATGCCGTTTCTACTCCGTCAAACGTGTATCCTATCGAGAGAGATCCATTCGCGCGGGACAAAGCTGAAGAGGAAACGTTCGAACCTGAGAATCTCGAGTCGTCCTTAACGTTAGAAACGCCTGTTAAGCGAACTTCGCGAATTTCTCAAGATTACGAAATGCCGCACGGCCGGCTAGGACTGTTGGGACGAAAATACTTGGGGGCTCTTCTCGGCGGAGAAGCGCCAAACGAGATCGATCACGTTTATGGAGTGTACATGAGCGCGAAAGGAGCGATGCTCGGCAATAAGCGATTCAATATAGACGCGGATGACTCCATACTTATAGATGAAATTAAATACATCGGTACCCCCGGTTTATACGAATTAATCTTCATGAAAAATCCTGATAGTCTCACATATACGGAAAAGGATAAATTAACATATAAGAGTATATTGTTAATAACGAACGCTCATAAACGCGACCATGACGCTAAAAAATCTGTTTTAGGAAATAAGGGATACAAATACAAGTTTGTTATCGCTCCGCTTATTCATGGCAGCAGCGCAAAAAAAGATGGGTGCGGGTCGCGCACCGTCAACCATGCGAGTCACGAACGATAGAATCGATTACATTCATTGGGACGATCCAAACGAATTAGTGGATCGTCTGCGATTGCTGGACGCTTCGCGTCGAGCTGGCAACAATGCTCACGAAAACGAGATGCTATCGATAATCGAGGAGCTTCGCGAAACGGGAGCGATAGTATAAATCGAACCGTCGCATCGACGATCGCCGCAATCGTGCGTGGAATTCGCGATGTCCGTGAGCAAATTCGGCACGCCTTTAAAAAACCGTGGCTATGACGCGAGAACCGGAAGACTACATCCGGCTATCGAATCTCTGCGAAATTACGTGCGCGATAACGCGCTGTGTCTAAGCTCTTCCGTCGAATACGACGCGAGAAAGCGCAAGATAAAGCGTCTGGCTAAGCCGAAGGAGGACGCCAACGCGGCGAGCAAAAGCTACGTTGAAGGAATTACGTCGCAATTGAGAAAAGACGCGGACGAAGCAGGGAAAGGCGTCATTCTACTATTCACGAGACTCACCCAGCTCGATAACGCTCTGGGTAAACGAATAGACGCCGCGGAGAGTTTTGTTTCCAAGATCGAAGCGGGCGACGACGTTTTGAGTAAACGGATAGACGCTGTGGAAAATTCCATTTCGAGAACTGAATCTAACGCTAACGCTCTAGGTAAACGAATCGATGCCTTAGATAAACGAATTAATAGTTTAAGCGATCGAATTTATGCCGCAAATAATACAATATCGCTCAACGCTGTGGAATCTTCGACGAAAAGCGCGAGCGATCGTAAAATACTGTTCAATCAGGGAAAAATAATACAACCCAAAAATTGCGTGTCGCCGCGAATTCCGCGGCTAATTCTGCGGCGAAAATACGAGAATTGGAAAATTCAACATCGCGATTGAAAAGAAACGCGGACGAGCTATCGGGGAGAGTGACGAAACTAGCGAAGATTCGCGAGACCAGCGGCGACACTCAGAGCGGCGAGCCGCTCGAAAGAGAGATCCCGCCCAACGTCATCCTTGAGAGAAAGAGAAGAGAATTATGAGCGCCGAAAAACGAAGACTAGTCAAGGAATTGCACGCGCCCGCGAGAAGAAACTTTCCACGTCGTCGCGTCGCGATACGCGGGTACGACGACCTATGGCAGGCGGATGTGGTCGAGATGCGTCCTTACGCAAGGCTTCGACGTGACTCCAGCGATTGCCGATAAACTTTTAAATACGGTATACAGCAATATAAAAATCGCTACTCCGGCTAAATTTAAAATAGCTGATCCAGTACGCGTCAGCAAGTTTAAGACGATCTTCGAGAAAGGCTTCACACCTAACTGGACCACCGAGATTTTTCGAATAGCCAAGATACAACGAACTAATCCCGTAACGTATCTGCTCAAAGATTCGCGCGGTGAACCGATCGCCGGAGGATTTTACGAGCACGAATTGCTGCGCGTCAACGATCCCAACGTGTATAGACATGCGCTCGTTATTCTCTTATATCGCTATTAAAATAAACTATATTAAAATAAACTATATTAAAATAAACTATATTAAACGCAAATACTATTTATTACATTCTCGATATATGACGTTTTCCTCACTCCTTACCGCGGTATTTTATAATGCCCCCACGGTAAAGTATCCGTAGTTCCTGATATCACATATCGTTTATCGTCATGTGGGCTAAGCGCAACTTTCAATTCCGACACCGTATACACCTCGTGTAACTTAGATCTTATGCAAGATTGTTCGCGCCTCATCTCGATTCTTCGTCGAAGACAGCGTGCGTAATCTTCGAATGTTATCTCGCGACTGGTATTCTCGCGACGACGCCGCTTTTAACACCCTTAATTCTTTTCGTATCGTCTCTACCTTCGACCCGTAGCGCGTACATCTTCGCTCTAAGCCCAACGAATTCCGTCATAATCGCGCCGGCATTCTCATCCTTAATAACACCAGGTATTTTCTTATTAGCTAGAGGCATACCGTACGCGA